TGATCTTCATGTTCATTGGTGGTTTTTTCTCAAATCTATTGTTGGACTCCTCTAGTGAATTTAAAATTTTTGTTACAATACCTTTCTTTCTATTTTATCCTCACCCAAGGACATTTTTTCATATTTTGTTCAGATAGAGTGGGAGGGAGAGAGAGGATGAGAGAGAGAGAGAGAGAGAGTGAGAGAGAGAGAGAGAGAGAGAGAAAGAGAGAAACATTGACGTGAAAGGGACACATCGAGTGGCTGTCTCCCGCAAGACCCAACCAGGGCCAGGGACAAACTGCAACTGCAGTACATGACCTGAGTGGGAACCGAACCCAGGTCTCTCTGGACTACAGGCCAATGCTCTAACCGCTGAGCCAAACCGGCTAGAGCTGTTACAATACCTTTCAAATCCAGGATTTCTATCAGGTATTTTTTTTTTCTAAATTGAGATTAATTGACATGACACAAAATTCACCATTTTAAAGTATACAGTTCAGTTTTTTTTAGTATAGTTACAAGATTATGCAACCACTATCATGACATGATTCCAGAACATTTTCATCACCCCATAAAGAAACCTCATACCCATTATCACTCACTTCTTCCCTATGTGCCCCAACCCCTAGCAACTACTGATCTATTTTCCATCTTGATGGATTTGTCTATTCTTGACATTTTATATGAATGGAACCATATACCATGTGGCCTTTTGCATCTGGCTTCTCTCACAGAGCTTAATGTTTTCAAGGTTTATCCATGTTGTAGCATGTATTAATACTTCATTTTTTTTATGGTTGAATAGTATTCCATTAAATGGATATGACTATATCATATTTTGTATTTCCATTCATCAGTTGAAGGACATTTGGATTGTTTCCACTTTTGCCTCTAGGATAATGCTTCATTGTTTTTTTTTTTTTTTTTTTAAATAATTTCTATTGTATTTGCTATTTCATGAATCATAGTCATACTTTCTTCTAATTCTTTTGTTTTAAATTTTTTTATTCCTCACCCAAGGATTTTTTTCTTTCTATTTATCATCAGATAGAGTGGGAAGGAGGGCGAGAAAGAGAGAGAGAGAGACAGAGAGAGAGAGAGAGAGAGAGAGAGAGAGAGAGAGAGAAACAACGAGAAGCATCAGTGTGATAGAGCCACATTGACTGGTCATCTCCCGCACAACCCGACCAGGGCCGGGAATGAACTGCAACCGAGGTACATGCCCTTGACCAGAATCGAACCTGCGACTCATTGGTTCATGGGCCAATGCTCTAACTGCTAAGCCAAACTGGCCAGGGCTCTTCTAATTCTTTAATCATGATTCATATAAATATGTTCAGTTATTTGAACATATTTATAAATAGCTGCTTTGAAGTTTTTGCCTTCTAAATCCAACATCTTTGCCCTATCAGAATCACTTTGTATTGACTGCTTTTCCCTCCTCTTTGTGGAGCACACATTTTTCCTGTTTCTTTGAATGTCTTACAACTTTTTTTCTGAAAGCTGGAAATGTTGGTTAACATATATTATAGCAACTCTGAGTTCTGATTTTTTTCCCTGAGGGTTATTGCCATTGTTTTGATAGTATGTATATTAACATGTCTATGCTAAATCAGTGGAATTTGTTGAATGTGTAGTGTGTGACTGCTGATACTTATGCTTAGTTTTAATTTTTACTGTATTTTTAAACCTGGCTTAGTAGTAATTAGCCCTGTATCGTATCATCATAGTTTAGTGGACTGCCAGTATTTGGTCTTTGCTTATACTTAGACACTTTCCTCCCTTATGCTGATGATTCTTTGTGTGTTTTCAAGTTTGCCCTGGGTTTTACTTTCTTTTGGGATGTCTTACATTCCTGTTTGCATATGCACCATCTCTCATCATTTGCCAAGGATTTATAGATAGGGAGGGAAAAGCAGTCAATACAAAGTGATTCTGATAGGGCAAAGATGTTGGATTTAGAACCCCTTATGGCTGTGTTATTTTTTGGATCTCTCTGGTAAACGTTTGGCTAATGTCTGGTCTCTTGCTTGCTTGTGTTTGCTGAGCCACTCACCATTCCTTGCCATTTGTTTGGCACTGAGATTGCTCCTATTACTGATAATGCTGTTTGGGGTAGATTTTTTTTTTTTCCTCTGCTCCAGTCAGAATCATGCCAGCCTCCTCTACAAGTGAATCTGCTGGTTTTCAAGGCTTGCCTTGCTTTTGTATAATTACCATGGCAACCCAGCTGGGATGGAAGATGGGAACAACCCCAGGCAAGAATGCCACAGACTCCCACAGTTCTTACCTGTGGTTTTGCAGTTTTTCATAAGTAACCACTCTTCATTTGCTTTATGTTTTTGGTCAAGTTCCAGAACTCTCAAATGGTTGTTTAGACAGTTTTCTCTAGTTATATTATTGTCTTTTGGGGATAGCATTTGTTGATCTACTTATTTTACCATGTCTGAACTCCTTTCCCTTTAGACTAACTTTCATTAACAAAAACTTTGAGATGCCATATAATGAGAGTTTCTTTTTACTGCATAATCAGGAACACTAAAAACTTAATGTTTAAACTAGAGATTTAAAATAGAATTGTGGCATATTTTTCTACCACTTCCCTTTAGTGCCTATAGAACGATTTTTATTTATTTATTTATTTATTTATTTATTTATTTATTTATTTATTTATTTTAACCTCACCCAAGGATATGTTTATTGATCTTAGAAAGAGAGAAAAAAGGGAAAGGAGGGGGTGGAGAGAGAGAGAGAAAGGAAATAAATATCCATGTGAGAGAGAAACATTGATCGATTGTTTCCCATATGAGCCCTGACTGGGGATTGAACCTGCAACCTAGGTATGTGTCCTGACCAGGAATTGAATTCACAAGCTTTTGGTGTACAGGACGATGTTTCAACCAACTGAGCCACCCGTCCAGGACTAGAAGAGTTTTTATTATTATCATTTTTTAAATTAAAGATTTATTCTTTATTTTGTATAGTTTTGTTATTATTTTGTATAATATTGTTTGTTAAATTAGGTAATAGAATTTCTTATTTTTAAAGATTGTTTTATTGATTTTTAGAGAGGAAGGGGGAGGGAGGGAGAGAGAAACAGCAATGTGAGAGTGAAACATCGATCAGCTCCCCTTACCGAGGATCAAGCCTGAAACCCGGGCACAACGGAGCCATACTGGTCAGGGTGGGAAATAGAATTTCTTTAGGATTATAAGCTAAAACATTTTTTCATTCTTTATTTTTTAAAAATTTTATTTCATAAGCAGATCTTATATCAGTTAATATAATAATAAAAGAAAACTGTTAAGTACTTGCATTTTCTAAACACTTTACATGTATGTATGAGCTCTTTTTGACCCAACAATTCCTTGAGTTATTTATAGGAATCAATTCTATTTTATAGGTGGGTAACTTAGTTGAAAGATACTTCCTATTAAGTGAGATTGTAAATAAAATCAACTTTCTTTATTAAAATTCTCAAGAATATTTGCATATTTTCTTAAAATTTAGTTTGGATGTTGTGCATAGTATGGCTAAGTCTAGAATAGGTACTCCTTTTTGGAGAAAAATTTAGCTCTAAACTATGGTTTGAATATTTTAATAAAAAATAAAATAAAGTAATATAAATTCTTGCTTCTAATGAAAAATTGTTTTTAAAGTCTCAGTTCACTTAATACTCTAGGATGTTAAATTTTGTAATTTGAGAAGGATCAATTCAAAGTACTCTTCAAGATAAGCTGGCAGGGAGACTTTATTTTTATTATTTATTTTTTTAAATCTTTGTTTTCTTAATCCATACCAGAAGATATGTTTACTGATTTTATAGAGAGAGGAGGGGAGAGAGAAAGGGAGAGACAGAGAAACATTGATGTGTTCCTTTAATAAAAATATTTTAAATTTATTTAGTTTTACTTATATTGTATTTAGGTGGTTATCAAATTTAAATCACTTCTGGAATCTTCTGAGATGTTGTGTGATATATTGTACTTTTAAATTTAACAAAACAAAATGACTTCCTAATGGAGCTCATCATTTATCACTAATTGAATGACCAAGTCAGTCACTAAAAATTCTGAACAATATTCTTTAGCTGGTGGGTGTTTTTCTTTTTTTTGCATTTTTAAATGAGTACTTTTGAGAAAAATTTAAAATTATGCTTTTTATAAAAAGCCACATTTTATTATAAATTTGATAATATACCTATTGAATTTTTAAATAGTAGACTATTTTTAAAAATATATTTTTTATTGATTTTAGAGAGAGAGGGAGGTAGAGGGAGAGAGAGAAACATCAATGAGAGAGAACATCAATTGGCTGCCTCCTGCATGCCCGTCATGGCCCCACTGGGGATTTGGCCCACAACCTGGGCATGTGTCCTTACCGGGAATTGAACTGGTGACCTCTTGGTGCATGGGTCAGTGCTCAACCACTGAGCCACACAGGCTGGGCAATAATAGACTACTGAGCAGTTTATATTTACAGAAAAATTGTGCAGAAAGTATAGAGTTTTTCCATATATCCCCCTTTCCCTCACAGAATATCTCTGTTATTAACATATTGCATTGGTGTGGTAACTGCGGGCTCAGTGGTTAGAGCGTTGGCTTGTGGATCGAAGTGTTGCAGATCCGATTCCCAGTCAAGGGCACATTACCTGGGTTGCAAGTTCGTTCCCCAGCTCTAATCTGGTCACGTGTGGGAGGCAACCAGTCGATGTGTCTCTCTCATGTTGATGTTTCTCTCTCTCCCCTTCCCTCCCAACCTTTCACTCTCTCTAAAAGTCAATGGAAAAAATATCCTTGGCTGAGGATTAACAACAACAAAACGTTTAAAAAAGAGTGAAAAAATTGATAAACCGATATTGATAGTTCTATTGATTTTTTGAAAAGCAATTGCAATCTAGTTGAATAGTTTTTGTAATCCTTTTACATACATACTCAGTTGAAATTTCTATAGTTCATTTACTACTTATTTTTAAAAAAATTATTGCTAATGAAACATAATTACCCTGATCTTTTTAGGGTGGAATAATTAATGATGGTTCTGAGTTGATTGGTCCTGTTGAAGCTTATTCGGACACCCTCACTGATAGTTTTCCTGAGTGTAGTACAGAAGGTAAGTGACTTCCTTTTTTTTTTTTTCCATTTCAGTGGTTTTAATTGCAGAAGATTATAAATTATATTTACATTGCACAAAATAAATAAATATAGGAATTTGAGAATATTTCACTAATTCTAAGATTCTTTTTACTTTTCTTTCACATTGATATTGGGTGCACGATACTGGGTTGATGATATCTTGCATTTAATTGACAACTTTTTTCTTTTTTAATGATATGTAAGATAATGATTCCTCCTGCAATTAGTGGTATCTGAGATTTGATGAAATGTGGTATGATGAGTGGTTAGAATTTGTGTTCTCTATGATAAGAAAGCCTGGCTTAAGTTTATTTAGCAGGATTTGATTTTTAGACAATTTCAAGACTGGCATTAAAAGTTTAGTCATGTACCCAGAAAAAACAAAATCTAAGGAAGCTTTAGTGTTTTTGATGTATTTTATAATAACATGGGTCTGAACCAACGCAATTTTTGTACTTTTAATCACTTTAATTCAAGAATGTTTAATCTCTTGTTTTATTCCTTTATTAAGCCATCTTTGAATTTTTATAGAGATTTAAAATACACACATTATTGAATTTTCTTAGCTAGTTTTCTTTCAGGGAAGATTTTAGAATTAAAAAAAATATAGATTTGGGGATAGGGATAGGGAGAGTCTTTAAAAATAGGTAATTAGATTTGTTTGATTGACTTAGGTCTGGTTTATATAAGAGTAAAATCATAGACTAGATAATATTTTCTAAACTCCTTCATAAGTAAGAGTTTATAGTAGAGGAGGGTGCTTTATGAAACTAACATGGGAGGTAGCATCTCATTGCAGTGATCTTTCTGTGGATTAATGCACAGATGTCACCGACAGACATATTGACATACATCTATAGCAGTCATGTCCCATTTTGATTTGGTAGGAGAAACAACTTCCCATCCATGGTGTAGGCTGATGCACTTAAATATATTTTTCTTTTGGTTCTGCTGTATTGAGAAGTGATTAACGTTTCTTATTTTTCACAGTGGCTCCTGTTGAGTTAAAAGCAAAGTTCATTAATTTCAACCAGTGTTCTGTGTAATGTGTGGGGTCCTCAGGCCCAGGGTCTCCATTGAGTCCTCAATATCTTTGACTTCATCCCGAATCAGCCAAGGTCATGGAAAAGCATTGCTTTTAAAATTTTTATTAATTTTTAATTTTTTTTATCGTTGAAAGTATGACAGATGTCCCCCTGTTTTCCCCCATTGACCCCCCCCCCTTCCTCCCTGCTCCCACCTTCATTGTTGACAGTAATTATACTTTATAATCCATCATGTCTTTTTGGGAAAAATATATATATTCTCCATGACCCGTTTTGATCTGAGATCCTTGTTAGGCTTTGGAAAATCTAGTCCCTGCTTGGGCTCCGAATGTGATTCTCTTTCTAGAACTAGTTTCCTTGGAGGGTGACTGATCTTGGACAACCTGATCTGGCAGTTGTCTGAGATACCCTTCTCCTGAGAAAGAGGGACAGTGTGTTTTCAGCCCGTTAAACGGGCTGATTTGATGATGTCCAGTAGAGGACAAGTAGGACAGTCAGCCATGGAGAGAGAAGGGTGTTTTTAGGAGCCTGTTTAGGGTCAAGTAATCAGGAGTGGGAGCAATGCAGAGGTCTTCTGTCCTCTGCCATTGTTGAAGATGGAAAGGGAGGAGCATTATTATTAGGAATGATGTTCTTCTGAAAATGGTGTTCTGAAAGATGCACATCTTTTCTGGGTGAAAAGGTGACTGTATTCATGTTAAAAGAGAGATGATCTAATGCTAAGTTGAGTTAGTAATGTATTGTCCAGTCTGGCGGACTTCTGAGAATTACAAGACACTGGGCATGAACCAGGACAGCCTTGGACAAACTGGGCAGTATGGGCCGCACTACCTACAGCAGTTAAGAGTTTGCCCTTGACGTTTCAAAAAGATGGGTTTTCATTGGAAGGATTTCTCTTTAAGAATATGCTTTTATGAGAAAAATTAGGGACAACATTTTTTGTTAAAAATTCAGGAAAAGACTTGTGATACGTAAAAGTAATAGTGACATTTTATCCTTTCAGGGCATAATTTCGTTTCCAACTGTATTACCATTCTAAAATGCACTGTGATCCATTAGGAATGAAAAAAACAACCCTGGCTGTTTTGGCTTAGTGGTTAGAGCATCAGCACACGAAACAGAGAGTCTTGGGTTCAGTTCCCACTAAGGGCTTGTACCTCAGTTGCAGTTTGTCCCTGGCCCTGGTCGGGGTCATGTGGGTAGCAGCCAGCCGATGTGTCTTTCGCACATCGATGTTTCTCTCTCTCTCTTCCTCCCCTCTCCCTCCCGCTCTATCTGAAGATGAATGCAAAAATGTCCTCGGGTGAGGATAAAAACAAAAAACAAAAAGACATACAGACCTGGAAATGATGTTAATGCTTATGTCTTTACCCCCTCCCTTTAAAAGCCTCTGTGTCTAGCTAATTAATCCTGCTGAGAGACGCCTTGTGGACAAATACAGATCGCAGTGTCAGACAGCTTGCAGCTTCATTGCTATTTGAGAGGGGAAATGACTTTTTCAAAAAGAATTTTTTTATTGTGTATATTTTTTTTGAGAGAGAGAGAAATTGGTTTGTTGTTCCACTTACTGATGCATTCATTGGTTGAACCCACAACCTTGGTGTATCAGGATGACCCTCTAACTAACTGAGCTACCTGGACAGGGCAAGAGGGGAAATGACTTCTAAATATTATGAAATTGTCTGGCATACTGGACAAGTGTAAGATTTACTTTTTACCAAAAGGTCTGCAAACTCTAGAGACAAGCAGGAGAGGAGGCCTCCAGCAGAAGAGCAGGAGGGCGGGCAGCCGGCCAAGCCCGCAGGTCTGCCGCGGCATGGAGGGTTGGAGGGGGACTGTGCTTGGCAAGTGCTTGTAGGTTGGATTTAGAGCCAAAATGTGAGGAGGTGATTCACTCCATAACAACTCCTCGGAGTGCAGTATTTTAAATGGTGTTGTGAAGGTAGATTCATTTTTCATACTTGTGATTTAGTTTGCCAGTGGAATGAGCCAGAAGGGCAAGTCTTAATATATAGTCTGCTCTTTCAAGGTCTTTCAGGTAGAGTTAGAATGACATGGCAAGTATATCACCTCTCAGAGAACAGATGTGGAGGCTAAGTGATCATTATTTTTATTAGTACCATAAAAATGCAATCAACAAGTTTTAAGTTACCTTGAAAGAAAGTTTCTGAGTAAAACATAAAGAGGTGGATTAGTGGCTTTAAAAAAATTACCATTATTTTCTAGTACGATGGGATAGAGGGAACCACTTTATGGTTTCATAAAACCAATAATTTGGTAATCAACTGATAAAATAGGTTTTATCTAATATGAAATTGAAAATTATAAAGTTATTCAGTAGGTTTTTAGATAAAATGTTAATATTGTTTTACATTCTTAAAATGAAATGCTGGTTACCCTTGATCTTCTTTGTTCAGAGAAATTAAACTATATATTTTCTCAGAGATGATAGGCTTAGTTGATTGTTAACATCTTATTTCCTTTTTAAACTTCCATCATTTGTTGGATTAAACTTAGCCATGAAGTTACTGACATTTGTGGAAACCTGGCCAAAATGATGCATGGGAATTGAGCTTCTTGGCATGTTTCTCTTGTCTGCTGGGCTGTTTGAAGGATGTAGGTTGCTTTACTGTCATGCTGGCCTTGATATTGGGGCCTTTGATGTTGGTAGAGTCTCATCTGGTAACCTGTGTCATTTCCTCTTCCTAATACACTACTTTACTTCCTTTGCTGTTTTGGAAGGGACATTTTCCAGGTGTATGCAATGAATAAGAGAAAATAGGTGGGCATAACCACAAATACAAACTCTTATATGTAGCAGATATTAAGAGTGAATATTCTTAAAATGTCTCTGGGAGTAATTAAATCTACCTTTTTTTTTGCCTGTAAATTTTGGATTAGGAGTTCCTAAGTGCTTAATCTCACATTTGTAGACTTAAGAAAGGATTTATTATGCCCTCTGGAATTAGCCATTTTAGAGTAAATGAGATATACATTTTGAAGATAATGGCATCTGTCACGGGTTATTGTAAGAGGAATCGTAAAGTAACTCTCAGTTCAAGATTTGTGCACTTATTTGATGGTAGGTAATATATGAAGATTACAATTCATGTGTTAAATAGAATACTGTAGATTTTATTTAAGACATCAAATACAATCAACATTATATTATGTTTGGGGGACTAATCGGAAAGGTATGTAGTTAAGTTTGAAAAAAATTTTCTGTATTAAAAAACCTTATTATGATATTTTCTTTTACTTTATATTGTGTTATTTTCATTTAGTTGATTTAACGTTGATGCTTTGAGGCAGGATCATATAAAAAAGTAATATTCTTCAGTTTATTGGCTACTTAATAACCTAAATATATTAAGACAAACTTCAAATCTGTACTCTACATGTAGTGTAAGATGACAAAATATATAGAAAGTCTAATTAAAAGTAATTTAAATTTAAATAGAATTTATAGCAAACGTCCACTAGGTGGCACCATGAGAACGCCACATCTTGTTACTGGGATTAGTCTGGACCCTCTATTACATTAGAGTATGCTTCTTCAGTTTGAAGCTCCTTTTTCTTTTTCTTAAGGGCTCATCTCCTTAACTTTTATTCACTGTTCTTTATTAGTTGAATTTTCTTTGGTAGGGGACCTTAAAATAAATAGGAAAAAAAAGAACAGGTCATTATTCTCAAGATAAACACAAATGCGAATGTGTCATTGTGTATATGTGTATATGTAAAACAAATGATACAAATTATAAATGTTGACTCTTAAAACCCTGGGCCTTGTGAGGATAATGTTGAAATGAGGACTTTAGGGATTGGGTGAGGCAAATAACGAGTTATGTTATGTCGCAGGAATGGATCTTAGAGTAGAAGGAACATTAGGGAACAAATAGAGAAATCTCTTAGTTCACGATTAAAATTGGAA